ACCGAACAACCGGTCGCTATGACGTGTGCTGACCACCAGGGGGCGCACACTAAACATGGCAGTCGTTAGCAGTAGGCGGCAGAGCGTGGGACATGGCGGGCATTGCCTGTGGAGGGATGGTGGAGCGGGTGAGCAGGGGTGCCCGACCAAGGCAGGGCACCAGTCGCTGTCATTGGGGTGAGCCTCTGGTGGTTACTGAAAATTGTTTGCACCTGCGTGGCACGGTCCCACTGGGTGCTTGCACCTGCTGCCGGCATTGGCCCCACTTGCACCCGCAGCCAGTGCCGGAGCTACCACTTGCACCCGCTGCTGGTGCCCAGTGCCGGTCCCGATTGCTTGGTGCCATCAGTGGGTGTGAGCAGCAGCTGCTGGCCCCAATCACCCCTGAGGGCTTCTCCACCTGTCCCTGCTCCTGAGGGGCAGTCGGGGCAGTAGCCATTGCTTGCACCCGCTGCTGGCGCTGGCCCCAATCGCTCTGTTCCATCAACGGGTGCAATTGGGGTTTGCGCCGGCAGTGTGTGGGAGCAGCAGCAGCAGGAGCGGGGCTGCCTGCAGACAGGGGACCGGGGCCCATGGTGGGAGGGCCTGGGCAGGGGCACAGAGGATGGGCTGAGACCCACCCCTGTGCCCACTGTAGCCTCGAGGCCCACAGTTCCTTTTAAGGTGCATGAATTTGTGCACTGGACCCCTAGTATTATATAAAATGTTAAAGGGACCTCTTTAAGTAGGAGAAGAAAAAAAACACTCCAAAATATGAACAATAAAATGGCAATAAACACATATCTATCAACAATTGAGTGTAAGAAACAAAATAAATGAACAAGCAGAACAGAAACATACTCATAGGTACAGAGAATATTTTGACAGTTGCCAGATGGGAGGATGGCTGGGGGAGCGGGGGGGGGGGGTGAAAGGGGAAGGGATTTAGAGGTACCAATCAGTAGTAATAGAATCACGGGGGACGTGAAGTACAGCACGGGAAATAAACATTATCCTATAAAACATGGTGGTCAGAAGGGTGGGGAGTTTCGGGGGGATCCCTTAGTAAGGTCTGTAACCTCTAAACCACTGGGGTGGTACACCTGAAACTAATATTATCATGTATGTCGGTTGTAATGGAAACATTTTAAAAATGATTGTAGAAACCCCCACATATATGTAACAGCCACAAGGTGGCAGCTTAGAACTATGACATAGGGATGGATCATTCCAAGCCCACACTGCGGGACCGTGGCCAGAGTGGAGGAGGGAGAGGAGGTAACACGGGGGCAGCTGGAACAGGAGAGGACGATAGAGACCGTGATGTGTAGAGCCTGCTGCTCGCATCTGTATGATTTTGTTTCCATAGGAAAAGGACAGACACAGGAACGCGCTCATGCGCGGCAAAGCCTCATCGAGGGCACGCGTACCTGGGGGCGCTCTTCGGAAGCCCCGGTGGGAACGAGGCATTGGAAGCCGCAGCCGCAGTCCCTCAGGTGGGCCTCACCCCTGTGGCTCTCGGACGCCTCAGACTGCAGGCACTTCCCGAGGCTAATTTCACTTTTGTTTGGTTTTCACCTGATGTATGTACTTTTGAATCCAACCCTCTTAGTAAATACGACTCTACTCTGCTTGTAAAAATGTACATATGTAACTTTAAAAAAATATATTCTTGCCCTCGCCGGTTTGGCTCAGTGGATAGAGCGTCAGCCTGTGGACTGAAGGGTCCGGGGTTCGATTCTGGTCAAGGGCACATGCCCAGGTTGTGGGCTCGATCCCCAGTAGGGGGTGTGCAGGAGGCAGCCAGTCAATGATTCTCTCTCATCATCGATGTTTCTATCTCTCCCTCTCCCTTCCTCTCTGAAATCAAGAAATATATATATATATATATATACACACACACACATACATATATATATATATTCTTACTGATTTTTTACAGAGAGAAAGGGAGAGGGCTAGAGAGTTAGAAACAGCAATCAGCTGCCTCCTGCAACCCCCTACTGGGGATCAACCAAGGTACATGCCCTTGACCAGAATCGAACCTGGGACCTTTCAGTCCAAGGCCTGATGTCCTATCCACTGAGCCAAACTGGTTAGGGCTATACATATGTAATTTTTAAATGCTATATATATATATATATATATCACATATTTTATATTTTGTAAAAATATGTAATACGTGCTCTTAAGTCAGGGAGCCAGTGCTGTCCACCATGCCTGGGACACAGGAAGTGCTCCATATATGCTTGGAAACGAAGGAAAGGTAAAGGAAGGGAAGAGGCAGACTTAGCAGCAGAGCAAACACTCAGTGTAGCGTAGAGGGTCACAGAGGGCCGTACACTATTCAACACAGCGAGTAAGATGCCACAATGGAGAAAGAGAGCGCCACCTTTCTTCCCGGCCTCAGAGCGCAGCTGCTGGGTTTCATGGACCCCGAGTTCCAGGGGCCCCTCCTCATTTTTTTTTCCTCAATAAAAACATTTTGTTTTATTTGATTTCAGAGAGGAAGGGAGAGGGAGAGAGGGATAGAGACATCAATGATGAGAGAGAATCATTGATTGGCTGCCTCCTGCACGCACCACACTGGGAATCAAGCCCGCAACCCCGGAATGTGACCTTGACCAGAATTGAACTGTGACCTCCTGGTTCATTGGTCGATACTCAGCCACTGAGCCATGCTGGCCGGGCCTCTCCTCAATTTTGATCCAAACTGTCACCATGTCCACATGTCCTTCTAGGGCAGCAGTTCTCAACCTGTGGGTCGAGACCCCTTTGGCGGTCGAACGACCCTTTCACAGGGGTCACCTAAGACCATCCTGCATATCAGATATTTACATTACGATTCATCACAGTAGCAACATTACAGTTATGAAGTAGCAACGAAAATAATTTTATGGTTGGGTCCCAACATGAGGACCAGAAGGTGGAGAACCACTGTCTAGTGATTTGAACTCCAGGTCTTCACACGTGACTGTGACATGTTGGGGAGAATAGGGTGTCCTGAAGGTGGCTGCTAGAAGGCCAAGTTTACTGAGCACAGGCATGCTGTTTCAACGCCGTATTTCCAGGTCCCTGAACAGAGCAGGCGCTTCATAAAGACTGATTACAAGGCCAGCCCGCCAAACAGACGGCCCAAAGGCAATCACAGAACCCCGCGGATGTGGGGGCACTGAAGTAATGAAAAGGGACTGTTATTTATGATAAGCCTTTCGCATACTACATAAAACATAGCTTCTGTTAAGGAGCTAACAAATCAAAATTACATGTTAGCAAAGTGACCTTTCCTCAGACCACACTGGGCTGAGAAAAGCTATAGGTATAGGGCAATGGGTACTGTGTACTCCTGCCTTCGAGGGACTTATAACCCAGGGGGGGATGTCACTTGTCCCTAAAAACATTCAACAACCTATAGGATTCCGTGGGAGCTCAGAGGAGGGGGAGACCTCTGTTGGTGTCGAGGCGGCTTTGGTTGAGGAGGCTGACCTTGATCCGGACTCTGGAAGGTGAGTCATACCCAGATACCAACAGGAGGGAAGCATTCCTGGCGCCAGGGAGACAGGTCAGCAGGTGTGAGGAATGGACCAACAGCTGTTCCTGGGGCTGGGGCTGGAGAAGGCAAACGCAGAGGGGGTGGGGCAGGAGGGCTCCTGGGAGCCACGCCCAGGCTGTTCTTCACCTCAGGGACATGGACGGTCTTTGAAGAGGATAATGACCTGGTGGAGGCTGAGATATTATATATATATAATATTTTATTGATTTCAGAGAGGAAGGGAGAGGGAGAGAGAGATAGAAACATCAGTGATGAGAGAGAATCATTGATTGGCTGCCTCCTGCACGCCCCACACTGGGGATTGAGCCTGCTACCCCGGGCATGTGCCCCGACTGGGAATCGAACCGTGACCTCCTGGTTTATAGGTTGACACTCAACCACTGAGTACACCAGCTGGGCAAGGCTGAACTTTTGAAAGATTATGAGTGTATATTGGCTTGGGTATGATGAGAGATTTAGATGGTGTTTTATTTTTTATTTTTTTAAACAAACAAACAAAAACACTATAAAATACAATCTGTAGCTGTGATGTATGCATAAATGTTCAAACATATTACAGCCAATAGAGTTACCACATGTCCATCAACTGATAAATGTGCATAAATAAAATGTGGCATATTCATACAATGAAATATTATTTGGCAATAAAATGAAATGAAGTCCTGATACATGTTACAACATGGATAAACCTTGAAAATATTATGCCACTTGATAAAAGCCAGACACAAAAGATCACATACTGTATGATTCCATTTATATGAAAAGTCCAGAATAGGCAAATCCATAGAGGCAGAAGGAAATTAAGGTTGCCAAGGTTTTGGGGAGATTCTGAGGAACTGGGGAGTGATCACTAAAAGGTACAGGGTTTCTTTTTGGGGTGATGAAATTATAAAGTTGATTGTGGTATGGTTACCTGACTCTGTGAATGTACTAAAAGTCATTAAATTCTACACTTCAAAAGGGTGACTTATATGGTATGTGAGTTATCCTATATAATCCTATGTAATAAAAGCCTAATATGCAAATGGACCAAACAGCAGAACGACCAGTCGCTATGACATGCACTGATCACCAGGGGGCAGACGCTCAGCCAGAAGCTGGGCTCATGGCTGGTGAGCCTTTCCTGCCTCTGTGGCAGTGCTAAGGATGTCTGACTGTCAGCTTAGGCCTGCTCTCTAGTCAGACATCCCGTGACCTGAGGGCTCCTGGACTGCGAGAGGGCACAGACCGGGCTGAGGGACCCCCCCCGATTTTGTGCACCGGGCCCCTAGTATTTCAATAAGACGGTTACCAAAAAAAAAAAATACTGGTGCAATAACCTAGTACTGGAGAGGACTTCAAGATGTCATCTGATGGAGTTTAGTTAATGAGATGTGGCTCGTCCAGTATAATGCCCATTGATTTGTGGAGCACCCAGCACGTGCGGGGTACTTGGATATGAAGCTGTGAGAGCCCCGAGCAAGGGCTCTTGGCTGGAGCTGGATCAGAGACAGCTCCCTAGAGGAGAAGGTGCCGAAGCCAAGTTGAATGGTAACCAGGCATTAGCATGAGGTATTGAACAGGGCGAGTGACTTCGCTTTGGGGAAGTTGTGCAGG